GAAGGGGATTTTAATTATCAGGGATGCATTTTTCACTAAGAAATTGTTTTATGAAAACTTTAAACTTGTTTTCTGAAAAATGTGATTTTTCAGTAAACTATTGCCAATATGGTAACAGCCATAACTCACAATTTTATGAATAAAACTAAATGATACTTTCTATGCATGTTTCATATAATCTGATGCATGCTCTGAAGCAGAAGATTTTAAGAAATATTAATTAGAAGTTGATATGTTACTTTTTATTCTTAGATTTTTGATGCAATAATAGGAAAATTTGCAGTTAATACTATATATTTTAACATATCTCAAGAATATATGAATATTTCTTAATTATTTTGCTTCATTGCATACAAAATAAGTGTAAACATAAATACAAATTAAAAAAACTGTATATTTATGTATACATTGTTCACCGTGGTTGTTGCCGTAATGACAAAAATTATCCTTTTTTTCATTATTTTTCAAAATTAAAATTACTTAGCATTAATTTTTAAGCTGTTTTTCACTCATTAGTATGCTTATCTTCAAATTAATACGTTTATAGTTAAAATAAAAACATTTTCTTAAAAAATGGTACCCGAACGAGGTCGGATAAACAGATCGAAAACAGATCGATGTGTACATGGACAGAGTTTGTGCAATTCTTTTAACTTCTTATTTTGGTTTTGTGTAGCGGCCATCTTGAAATTGTGTCTTCTTGGTGCCAAAAAACAAGGGGCACCCAACTGTAAACTTTTACCCAATTAAGGATAAAATATTTTTTCCTCAAAAATGGCAACACTGTTATTCATAATTAAATTTAGCGGTACTTTTCCGTTTGGCAGGCACAAATCTTGCCAAGCAGACTTTATTCGTGACAACACACAGTATACACATATATAACAAATGTCAGTTCTAAGAATTTTTTATTTTGAAGTGCATAAATATTTTAACATCATTTAAAATTTTGTAAAAAGAAAATAAATAAAGGCAATAAATTTGTAAAAAGACAATTTAAGAATTTACTATGATCTCATGGTTCAACCAAAGAATCTATAGGGAGAATCGACCCCTATATATTCTTTGGTTCAACATCCTGATTCACCGGTTCATATAACATGACCCCAAGTGATCTCCTCTCACGTAAACTACGCTACAAAAATCTAATTCTGTCAGTAATTAGCTACATTAATTTCAAGTTAAATCTTAAATTAAATCTTATGGAATAAAAATTTTAATGCAAGAATTATTTTGATTCGTACAAATAGCTTACCCAGAAATTATTTAAAATCACTAGAGCATTCACATTAAAATTGATGAATTTAACCCTTGACTTCGCATTTTCTATATTTTCGCCTTCGGGTGAGCAGTGTGATTTCATCGTAATTGACTTAAATTACCATGAAAGCCCTTAGTGATGGAAATTACTTAAATAGCAGATGTATTTTGAAAATATAGTAGAAAGAAATAAGCAAACCACAAATGTTTATTCTTACATGTTTATTTACTTGGCTAACTAAACATGTAACTTGCATTTGTGGTTTGCTTATTTCTTTCTACTATATTTTCAAAATATATCTGCCATTACATGCCAATATTGAAGGAGATGGTTGATCTTTACAATATGGTAACTGGTAGTTTGGCGACATTTTGGAGGCGATAAAGGTTACTACCTGGCACTTTGGTAATAATGTGAGCAGTACTCAGTTCCGATTACGCATTATTTTGTGTGAGGGAAATGAGAGATCATGGGATATGTCATGTGATATTAATGGACGAATTTATCTTTAATCAGAAAAGGGGGGAAATCGGGAAAAAATCTGGAAATTTTGTATTTGGCTTTATTCTGTGTTGTGTGAAACAGTGCTTGTTAATTTTTGGATCCCATGGCCAAAACTAAAGTGAATTCGAAATGGGTATTTATGTATGTATTAATTTAATGTATGTGCTCATTTATATTTTAAGTAGTGTTTTGAATTTGAATTTAATATATTTTAATGAAATGATAGTTATTTTGTGAATTTATGTTTGTAGGAATTTGGTATACGTTTTAGTTGAAGTAAACGTGCATGGAAATAATTTAAATATCTGACACTAAGTATTTGTAATGGTTGCGGTATGAATTCGTTGGTGACGTGTATAATGTAATAGATGATTTAGAGGTAAAAGTTTTTGGGATTTTATTTATTTTATATGTGGAAATGTTCATATTTGTAAAGGGTAAATACTTTTTCGTGATCAGGTAATTTTATATATGTTCTTTTTACCGGGTTTAAAGATTGAGAAAATGTGTCATGTTTTCGTCGTGAAATTTTTCTAATTTATGAGAAAAAAGCAGTGTACATGGGATATAGTGAAAGAGTGTGCGCAATGCCATTTTTGTGCAATTCTGGGATGTTTTTTAAGTAAAAATAAGTCGGCGTTTGTTGTACATGGTTTATGTGTATGTGTTATTTTGAAAAACGCGTAAGGAGTATGGTATTGTGCTTTTTTTCCCAATTTTGCAGTGAATATTTGTCATGATTAAGCAGTTTTGTTAGATAAAATTTCTAGCATAAGTGTAATTCGGCTAGTAGATTGTTGGAAGAAGTGTTCAGTAGATAAAAAGAAACATGTCTTTACTTCATGAAGACAAAATGGCGGCGGGAAAAAAAAATAGAGGGTTGCTGTAGGAGAGTTGGTCGCCAAATTTTCGCCAAAAAAACGCCAAGTTACCATAATGTAAAGATCAACGAAAGAGATAATCAATCCAATAAGAAATTGCTGCTACTTGTTTTGAAAATTATGCGTAAAAGCTTATTAGACAGGATATTCCGTTTGGCATCGGTTGTACCATTTTCGGCGACTTTATTGCCTGCACCAGCAAAATCGTGGTGTGTATTGAGAATATGGCAAAGCACACTAGGACTGTCTGCCTAAGGGAAGGGATGCCTTCATGGAGGACTTTCTAAGGGAAACTGGTTCGTATATACAATACACATGAGGAAAACCTTGAAAACGCCTATGCAGCCAGCCCGTTCGCAGGATTCGAACCTCGGACTGAACCATTAGTGTTCAGCGATTTTACCACTCAGCCGCTGGCAGGCACGGCAAAATAGAAAAGTACCAATTTAGCGACATTTTTTACGAGTTTAAAAAAACAGCACACCTGCATCAAAGGTATACTGTAATCTAGAAATTATCATTATTGAAGATTTAAAATATCATACTGTAAGGTAAATTTAAAATCATCAAAAAATCATTTTGCCTTTTGCATTTTTTTTTTTTTTTAACCGATTTCTAAATTTAAACATTTAAAAATAGGGAAGCACTTCCGCAGAGAACACGGTAAATGTAAACATTGCCAACTTTGGCGATAATAGTTCAAACCTGGTAACCCAGCGGATTTATCCTATTCGCTTGTTCGAAGTTTGCAACCATTCCTCTTGCATTCATTTTGTTGAATTATTATTGTCGTTGTTTGCATTTGCAGATTTATATTATTCTTCTCTTATTTATTATTATTTTTTCTGAATTTATTAACAACGAATAGATAGAAATATTTTCATAGATAGATGCCGGTTCTCGGTTCGGGATGAAAGGAAAAAAATACGGCGGGAGGGGTGAATGCTAATTTGTAACACAGCTGTTCACGTTGTGTTCTTAATTATTAACAGCTCTAAGAACCAGCAATTTAAATAATTAATAAATGCTTTTATTATTGGTTATAGCCATCTAAAATTATGAGAATAAATCAATTTTTCTGGCGTAAAATTTTAACAAGATAATGTATTGTTAATGCTTTTCTAACAATAACCTTTCAGAGGATGGCAGGTGTGACATAAATAGACGATTAGGTACTTTTCCGTTTTGCCGGCGCAAGCGATAAAGTTGCCAATAATGGTGCAACCGATGCCAAACGGAATATTCTCGCTGGTAATCTTTTACGCCTCATTTTCAAAACAAGTCGCAGCTTTTTCTTATCAGATTGATTGTTTCTTTCAATACTGGCATATAATTACATAGAATTTTTATCAGTTAGTTTAGTTTTATGTCTAAGGCCATTTTCGGTAATTAAGTCAATTAGGATGCAACCACAGCCATTTACTAATTTACTTTAGCAGCTTACCCGAAGCCGAAAATATAGAAACGATAAAGACAAGGGTTAAATTCATCAATTCTAATGAGAATGCATTGTTAATGCTTTTCTAACAATAACCTTTCAGAGGATGGCAGGTGTGACATAAATAGACGATTAAATTGAAATAAAAATATTATTGATTATCTAAGATGACAGAATAGTTTGATGCATCACCTTGGTCATCAAAATTAGCAAACCACTGCTGGTGTAAGGACTATATTGTTTTCTGTGTTAATTGGAATTTAAGACAAATTTATTTCGTTTATCATGTTTAACCAGTTAATTTCATTACATTAATACTAATTTATATTTTTTAAATAAATTTTTATTTCCATTATAAATGCTTATATATTGTCTTATACTTAATATATTCTTTTCTGTGCTAACTTGAATTTAATACAAATTTATTTTCGTATATCACGTTTAACCAGTTAGATTTACATCTACATGCTTATTATCTGTGAATTTTTACAACCATATGCTTAATATATTGCTTTGTCTGCTAACTTGAATTTACATGCACTAAAAATCACGTTTACAAAATATCACGTTTGCGGCTCGGCTCATCGTAAATGCAACGGCGCCAACGGGTTCTCTGCGGATGAAAACCCAAAAATAGTTTTGAAAGTGCATAAAAAAATTTTTCTTAAAATTATTAGCAGCTAACATTACTTTTAACATGCTTTTTACTATTGTGCTAGTGATAAATTCCAATTAAAGCATTTTGCTTTTGTGAACAGCAATAACCTTTTGTTCCACTAATAATATCCACTTCATTTTCCTGAATAAATGCCGAAGGTATCTCGAATTAAAGATCAAGCAAAAAAGCGTACATAGCAGAAAGAGAACAAGATGTTTTGCATATGCAATATTCAAGTATATATTTTTATCACTTTACCTGCTATTGTAAATCTGTCCATATAATTAATCAAATTTATAAAACACAATATTGCTACAGACACATAACGCTTTTTCGAGCGAGATGACACAATCATTTCTTGAGAACTAGCTGGCATTCCATTTCTACATGTTGAATTATGAAAAGGATCTCGGTTCTCAAATCTAGCACAATTTTCAAAGCCGTCATCACTAGAGTATGCTAAATTGGTATGTGCAGGCATTTTTTGAAATATGTAAGTTTCATCAGAAATGAGAATTTATTTCATAACATCCTTTACGAACGACATCAATCTTCCATCAAAATTGTTGTTCAAGATCTTCTCGAGGGGAACAAATAAGAGGAACAAGGGAGCAGAAACTTTCTGCAAGCGGAAACTTTCTGGCGGCGCTAAATCCACAAACGCGCAGGGAGTTCACGTGACATAATGTTCATTATTTGTAATGTGTGTAAAAGATTGTTCTGAATAGTTTTGAAAAATATATTACTCCCTAACTAAATTTGAATAATATTTATCCTGTGAAACACACATTTTAATATGAATGAAACTGACAAGGTATTTTCATAGAAAGCTAATTTCAAATTAGTGTAGTTTCTAATGTCGATAAGAGCCGGTTTCCTCAGAAACTCCTTCACAAAGACATCCATCCAACTCAGCAATAGAAAGGGTTGTTAACAGTTCACCAGCAAAAGAATGAATTGCAAGTAATAATTATCAGATAAAAAGACGAGGTCAATCTATATACATGATAATGTTCAGGAAATGATTAAATAAAATAGGGATTTAATAATGGTTCTAATCGCAAGCAAGGACGTGTAATTAGTTAAAATATCTTTAATGTCTTGACAAAAAGGCTACGGAAATTACTTAACAGAGGAATTTTTATGAAATCTTAGACCCTAGTCTTATAGCATAGGACTGTCAGAATTTATTATTCAATAAGAAAACTTACTGAAAATTACAATATTCTTATATATTCATCACTTTTTCAGTATCCACACATGTTTATAGGTTCAAATGCCATAATATATAAATCAAAGTTATTTATGAAATAAAATCTGATAAATCATTTGTATGTGCATAATTTTAAATCTAAATCTCTTACATTAAACTATTTCTGTCTTTTAAATTACATCGCATTATTTATTTCAATTTAATTTATTAATGTGTTTGCACTAATATTTCAAAGTTCTTTGAAGTACTTTTTGTGTCCTGAAAATGTCAACTATTTCCATAAAAAATAAACTGGTAAATAGAATTGTTAATAACCAGCATTATATGATTAATTACTTATTTGGTACTTACGTATTAACGCAACCAGGCCAAAATTCGCATAAATCGCCAAATTTGGCGACCCTACTTACGGCAACCCTACGTGTTATACGTAGTTTTGTAAAAATAATTTATTTGTAAAAAGAAAAAAATAGCACTGGGCGTGCCACACTTGTCCGAACTCTGCAGCCACACTTGTCACACTGCGACCTTCCTCCAACTTCCCAATGATTTGACCTCGGGTAAAAGCATACAGATGTCGTCTAACAGATTGATTATTCGCCATTTCTCGCTGAGGCAGCAACTCGGTGTGATTTTAACTGCTGTAACGGCGTGCAATCTCTTTGCCAGAAATACTGATCTTTGGAACTTTGCGGTTATACTGACTTTCAGCAGGAAATTAAAGTCCTGCTCTTGCCAGTTCCTGATGTGATCCCATGTGGGGCCTGACAGAGTAGAAACCTGAAAGAAATTTTCTCTCGTGGAGGTAGAAGTGTGCTGGGGAGAGAAAAAGAAGTACTTTGCTCATGTACTGCTACATCTTGGATGGAATCCGCCAAGCAGGGGCCGGAGAAAGCAAGGAGGTTAGAATAGAAGGAGGGAGAGTTCGCAGTTTCCTCCACTATCGGGGAATGAAACTCCGCCGAACAAGCGGCGTCTATGTTTGTGACTTCAAAACATTGCATTACGGCAGTGACATGTACGTGTTTCTAAGCTGTTCCGTGCATTTATTTTCCAGTAAAAATATGTTAAATTTATAATGAAATCCCTTGCTATTGTTGAATTTTTGTTTTAAAGTAACAAAGATGATATCCATAATTTACTATGTACAGTCGGCCACAAAAGTATTCGAACACCGGTACCCATTCAGAAAATTTACTTTTCCGTTGAGAAACAAAAGGTTATTCAGAGTCTATCCTGGTTCGATGGAAAAAAACAAAAGGATGGCTCATGTCAAACTTGGCTAGGTGTCGAAAAAAATCCATGACACTTTTCCGTTGAGAAACAAAAGGGACTTCAGAGTCCATCTAGACGAAAAAAAAAAAAAAAAAAAAGGATGGCTCATGTCCAAAAATTGGCTAGGTGCAGGTGTCGGAAACAAAATACAACATGACCTATCTGGGTGAGATGGGAAACAAAATGGCTGCTCACGTAATACATTATTGCGCTCATAGAAAACGCAAAGTGTCGCTGCGGCTCGTCTCGGTTCGCGAAGAGTGAAAACCCAAAACGGTCTGCAGTGTCTATCTTTGTTGAATGAGAAAACAAAAGGATGGCTCATGTCCAGTTTATTTAGGTGTGGGAAAACATATAACGTGACCTATCTGGATGAGATGTCTCCAGCGATCCAGTATAGACTTTTTCCCCATCTGCAATAGATGACATCTATAAACAATTCCATTGAAATCTCCTCGAAATATAAGAAACAGCTAGCTCGTGAAATTGTAAAGTATTCCCAAAAAATTCCACTTCTTGAAGAAGGAAAAACACCCTAGCTGCAGATGAGGTAGAGAGAGAAAAAGCATGTTGCACCATGGAGAGCGCGCACGGTTCTGAACAGTAAACGTGGAATGCTTTTATAGAAAAGAGTTGAAAGTGAAAGTAAAAGCCGATTGGAATTTTTCAATTGGTTGCCGACTGGGAAAAAATTTTCAGAGCTCAGAAAAAAAAATCTGAGATGTAAAAAAAAAACAACACTTTTTGTTAATTTTTATCATGTCTTCTAGACATGATAAAAATTAACCCTACCCCCCTTTTGTGTGGGAATGTTGTCTCACTGTTTCTAAAAATAGACCATGACTCATTCTAGGAATTATATGTTTTAAAAAGGATGACTTTAAAGTTTATAAGATATGATAAGTTTTTAAAAAGGATATGTTTTAAAAAAGTCTTTGGGTTTTCTCCATTCCAAAGTAAACAGTAAAAAGTGAAGACAACAAATTAATAGAAAAAAAAGGAAGAGTGTTCTTTTTTTTTTTTTTTATAGCTCTGGAAATATTTTTCCAATTCAACAGCCAAGAAATATTTCCAACCAATACAATTTCATTTTTACTTTCACTTTCAATTCATTTCTTATATCTATAAGAACATTTCATGTTTCTGTTCAGATCAGTGTGGGTTGTTCAAGATGCAGCAACTCTAATCCATCCCACAACCAGGAAAAAAAGATGTTCTTTCATGAGATGTTCTTTTGGCTTTCGAAAACAATGATGACATGATGATTGTAATACATTTCGGTTCTCATGTCCCATGCTTGAACTCAGAATTATTTCCAGAACTCTGAAAATTTTTCCTAGTCAGCTCGATAACCCAGCTTTCGTATATTTATTTTTTAAGCCACTCGAGTTTCGACTTCCCATCCGTGTGTGCTGTGCATTCAACCTGGAGACACATTCCCTGAGCTCTAAGAAAATGTTTCCCAGCCCACTCAATCCCTGAAATGGATTAAAAAAAATTCTTTCATACATTTTTAAAGCTCAAGAGTGTTAGGTGTCAAGGAAAGAACCTTTTTTTTCCCTGAGCTCTAAGAAAATGTTTCCCAGCAGACTCAATCGCTGAAATGGATTAAAAATAAATTCTTTCATACATTTTTAAAGCTCAAGAGTGTTAGCTGTCATGGAAAGAGCCTTTTTTTCCCCTGAGCTCTGAGAAAATGTTTCCCAGCAGACTCAATCGCTGAAATGGATTAAAAATAAATTCTTTCATACATTTTTAAACCTCAAGCGTGTTAGCTGTCATGGAAAGAGCCTTTTTTTTCCCCTGAGCTCTGAGAAAATGTTTCCCCAGCAGACTCAATCGCTGAAATGAAATGGATTAAAAATAAATTCTTTCATACATTTTTAAACCTCAAGCGTGTTAGCTGTCATGGAAAGAGCCTTTTTTTCCCCTGAGCTCTGAGAAAATGTTTCCCAGCAGACTCAATCGCTGAAATGGATTAAAAATAAATTCTTTCATACATTTTTAAAGCTTAAGCGTGTTAGCTGTCATGGAAAGAGCCTTTTTTTCCCCTGAGCTCTGAGAAAATGTTTCCCAGCAGACTCAATCGCTGAAATGGATTAAAAATAAATTCATTCATACATTTTTAAAGCTTAAGCGTGTTAGTTCTCATGGAAAGAGCCTTTTTTTCCCCTGAGCTCTAAGAAAATGTTTCCCAGTCCACTCAATCGCTGAAATGGATTAAAAATAAATTCTTTCATATATTTTTAAAGCTTAAGCGTGTTAGTTCGCATGGAAAGAGCCTTTTTTTCCCCTGAGCTCTAATAAAACGTTTCCCAGTCCACTCAATCGCTGAAATGGATTAAAAATAAATTCTTTCATATATTTTTAAAGCTTAAGCGTGTTAACTGTCATAGAAAGGGCCTTTTTTTCCCCTGAGCTCTAAGAAAATGTTTCCCAGTCCACTCAATCGCTGTTAAATGGATTAAAAATAAATTCTTTCATACATTTTTAAAGCTCAAGCGTGTTAACTGTCATGGAAGGGTCTTTTTTTTCCCCAGCCCACTCAATCGCTGAATGGATTAAAAATAACTTCTTTCATACATTTTAAAGGTCAAGCGTGTTAGCTGTCATAGAGCTGCAAATGAGGTAGAGAGAGAGAGAGAAAGCATGTTGCACCATAGTAGAGCCCGCACGGTTCTGAACAGAAAACGTGGAATACTTTTAGATAGAAAAGAGGTGAAAGTGAAAGTAAAAGCGCGATGGCTGGAAAAATTTCTACTTGGTTGTCGACTGGGAAAAAATTCTCAAGAGCTCAGAAAAAAAAAATCTTGAGATGTAAAAAAAAAAAAAACTTTTTGTTAATTCTTATCATGTCTTCTAGACATGATAAAAATTAACCCTACCCCCCTTGTGTGTGAGAATGTTTTCTCCCTGTTTCTAAAAATAGACCATGACTCATTCTAGGACATTCCAAAGTAAACAAAGTGAAGACATCAAATTAATAGAAAAAAAGTAAGAGTGTTTTTTTTTTATAGCTCTGGAAATATTTTTCCAATTCAACAGCCAAGAAATATTTCCAACCAATACAATTTCATTTTTACTTTCACTTTCAATTCATTTCTTATATCTATAAGAACATTTCATGTTTCTGTTCAGATCAGTGTGGGTTGTTCAAG